AGAGAGAGACAGAGAGAGACAGAGAGACAGACAGAGAGAGACAGAGAGAGACATAGTGACAAGGACAGAGAGAGAAATAGAGACAGGGACAGAGAGAGACAAAGAAACAGAGAGAGACAGAAAGACACAGAGAGAAAGAGAGACAGAGAGACAGAGACAGAGAGAGACAGATAGAGAGAGAGAGAGAGAGAGAGAGAGAGAGAGAGAGAGAGAGAGAAACTGAGAAGATACTTCAAGGAAGTACTGGTAGGTGAAGCCTTGAATGATAAGTACTTACTATAGTCATAGTGTCCTTGTAAAAAGAAACAAGAAGGCCCCTACCTCATCTCTCCAGTGCAGATTTTTGAAATGTGAGCCAAAAATCCTCCTATGTAGCTGATGAAAATTTAAGGTAAGTCTGTTATTTGCCAACCAATTTGCCACTGGGGAAGTTCAAATAACAACCATGCTTAGAATTATCAGGATAACCTGGGTTAAAAAAATAAAAGATTGAGAAAGAGATTTGTTCATCTCTATTCCCTCACCTGGCTCCGCCCTCAGCATTCTTTCTTAGATAAAACAGGCCCTGGACACCATTATATAACTCTTCTGGTAGTGTTGCTATAGGTAGCAAGTTGCACAGATTCTGGAAAACTGAAACCTCTTATTTTCTCTCCAAGATGTATCTGATGACTGCAAGACACCGTATACCTCTAAGTGATGGAAACAGCATACCTATCATTGGGCTGGGGACCTTCTCTGATACTTACACAGTAAGCTCTCTTTCCTCTGTATGGGTGCATGTGTTTGTGGCTCTTAAAATGTTTTCCTAAAACATAAACTTTTGTCCTGAGTGTATCTCATTGATTACTTTTTGATAATATTTAAAGCAGTTCTGGACGACTGATATTTGCTGGACTGAGGGTCAAGCAAAAGGTTAAACTTTAATGATTTCATGGTTAAAAATAAGTACAGGTTAAACAATGTGATGTGTAGGCTTTCTTTACTCAATTTGAGCTGAAATTTAATCCCTACTATAAATGGAGACACATGAAATTAGGGAGTTTATGGCTCCTGGAGTTCATTAAATGTTTACACTTAACGAATTTATAGTTTAGCCTCACTAGCATTTACCTGGGCTTTAATTTGTAAAGTACTTCTTTACTAAGAGACACGTCTCATCTACTTAACCATTAAAAACTCTATAGGTAATGTAGACTCTTAAAATCTACACAAAAATAAAGATTAAGCCTCTGTAATTCTAGAACTGTAGCCTCTATAATCCTAGAATTGTAGCCTCTATAATCCTAGACTGTGTCTCTGTCTCTCTCTCTCTCTCTCTCTCTCATGGTAAATCTACTTAAAACAATATGTTTTTCATTGCATTTCATCATTCAAGTCTGGTAACAAAAATAAATGATGGTATACTAGATTTTTGTAGTCATAGTGAAATACCTGGCACAATAAAAAGAGGAGAAACTGATTTTTAACTCATTATTAACTTTACTGAAGATCAGTAATAATTACATAGCAAATTAAAAATTGTAGACAGAGCTGGTGAGATGGCTCAGTGGTCTAAAATCACCTACTTAGAACAACCTAAGCTAAACAAAGCACAGGGACCACGGTTCAATCCCCCAGCATCACATGCCAGCCAGCCCCACACCCTAGTGGGCTGAGCTGGCCACACACACACACAAATAAATAAACAAATAAATATTTAAAAAAATCTTTAAAAAATAAAAAAAATTGTAGACAAATATTGAAATGTGAAAGATATAAGATGTAGAATTTTAGAAAAATATTTCTGAAATGAATACATAAGATTAATAATAGCACATTATAAAAATTATTTACAAATTTAAATGAATGTAACAACAAACATTGTCTAAAATAAGTATGAAGAAGACTTTACAGATCAGTCATATTATAGTCAAATCTGTGCCAAAATCAGGAAACTTATATACACATAATTAGAATTCTCAAAGTAGTATAAGTACTGCACGTTAACCAATTGTACCACTGGAGCTTCTAGAATTCTCAAAGTAGAAGGGTGTAGGCAATAAATAATTAAAGATAAAAAAGATTTAAAATTTCTGAATGTAGTAAAAATTACAGTACCTCATTGTCAAGAAAACTGAACCTTTTGCACTAATATAAATAAAATAACACCAAAATATCAAAAATGAAATTGTCCAAACCTAATTATAAAGAAAAAAATCTTTAAGAAAACCATATTAGCTATGGAAGAACAACTATAGAAAACCATATTAGCTACATAAGATCAAAATTAAATAGCATCTTATTCCACATTAGAAACAAAGAAGAGCAAGAAGGTAAGAAACCAAACATCTATTCAAAGGACAAAAAAAAAAAAAAAAAAAAAAAAAAAAAAAAAAAAAAAAAAAAATCTGTCCTCATGGAATTTTATACTTAGCAAACATGCCTTTGAAAACTAAAAGTAAAATAGTTTCCAGTTATACAAACATGCAATAGTTTAATACTTCCAGATGGAGCATATACAAAATAACAAAGACCATAATCCAGAAGACAAGAGAGATTGTTGTATAGTCCTGGATAAAGAATAAACAGCTCTCACATTGGCCAAACAATGGCCGTAATTCATACACATGGCTGACACTGACAAATGTTCTACAATATGAGGTACAGGATCTCAGGATAAATCCTGAGGGGATTTCACTGACCTTTTCAAACCCAAAAGCTACAACTCTTATTGCATAGGTCCTGCTTTACCTTGGTCTTAACCAGCCAGCAGAAAAGTATAAGAACGAAATATAAGAAGTAAAGCCATGCTGTTATGTTGAGCTGTAGGGGACTCAGGTCAACAACTTCTGACATTGCCAGACAAGCAGAAGACCCAATACTAT